AAATATTCTTTTAAATCCACGCCTCTTTGATGGACCCTTGAAAAAATATTCTTTAATAAATCCACGCCTCTTTGATGGACCCTTGAAAAAATATTCTTTAATAAATCCACGCCTCTTTGATGGACCCTTGAAAAAATATTCTTTAATAAATCCACGCCTCTTTGATGGACCCTTGAAAAAATATTCTTTAATAAATCCACGCCTCTTTGATGGACCCTTGAAAAAATATTCTTTAATAAATCCACGCCTCTTTGATGGACCCTTGAAAAAATATTCTTTAATAAATCCACGCCTCTTTGATGGACCCTTGAAAAAATATTCTTTAATAAATCCACGCCTCTTTGATGGACCCTTGAAAAAATATTCTTTAATAAATCCACGCCTCTTTGATGGACCCTTGAAAAAATATTCTTTAATAAATCCACGCCTCTTTGATGGACCCTTGAAAAAATATTCTTTAATAAATCCACGCCTCTTTGATGGACCCTTGAAAAAATATTCTTTAATAAATCCACGCCTCTTTGATGGACCCTTGAAAAAATATTCTTTAATAAATCCACGCCTCTTTGATGGACCCTTGAAAAAATATTCTTTAATAAATCCACGCCTCTTTGATGGACCCTTGAAAAAATATTCTTTAATAAATCCACGCCTCTTTGATGGACCCTTGAAAAAATATTCTTTAATAAATCCACGCCTCTTTGATGGACCCTTGAAAAAATATTCTTTAATAAATCCACGCCTCTTTGATGGACCCTTGAAAAAATATTCTTTAATAAATCCACGCCTCTTTGATGGACCCTTGAAAAAATATTCTTTAACAAATCCACGCCTCTTCTGAGGAGCCTTGAAAAAATATTCTTTAATAAATGCACGCATCTTATGGACTCTTAAAAATATTCGATAATAAAACCACGCCTATTTTTAAACCCTTAAAAACTTAGGGTCTTATATTGGCCCCTGAAAAAATATTATTTAGAAAAATTTTCCATCGTCCTCTTCCTCCAAAGATGACTAATCCATAGAGAACAAAAAAATCTGCATTCCGCTGCCGCTGCCAAATGAAATTCAACCCCAAAATTAAAAAATCACGACCAGTAATAAAAATAAAAATTATTAATTTCCTAAATTTCAAAATGCATTCATCTGAGAACAGAGAGGTACTGCGCCAGCTAGGCACACCAAATAATTGCAGTGCAAATTCATCCTCCATCCATCCATCAATGCAATCATCACCACACCTTCATTTCCCCAACAATCTGTGTTTCCTGTTTAACCTTCGACTTCACCTAGACATCCGCACACACACACGGCGAAAAGCCGTGAGGTGTGTATTTGTGTGTGTGCAGCGTGATTTCACACCGAAAACCTTGAATATCAAAACACAGAGAGAGATATGGTGGAAAACTGAAATTATTACTAAAACACAAATCGAACTGCAATGGCGGTGGGGTGAGTGTGTATGTATGTGTGCGTCTGTGTACATAAATTACTAATACACAAACAAACAGCATTTCATGGTAAACCGCATCCGAAACGAATGGCAAATCTCAACAGCTTCATTATGAGCATCGACGGCTTTGAAACACAACAACGAGAAGGACGCGATGGCCTTATCACCCTCCCATCAATAGTGACAGTAATTATGAAGAGATATTTCATCTGAATACACACACCAACACATTTACACATATATTTGTATCATAAATTATGATTATTTATTTTTCCAAATTCCAAGAAGTAAAATCGAGGGGGTCGAACCTTTCGCAATATTTAGTTAAAGGCAAAGGATTCTGGGATAGAGTATCCAGACCTCCCATCTAAACTAGATATCTTCCTCAGAAGGCGTACAAATTGACTGACAGTCCAGACATTCTCTTGACTAAACATCAATGGCATTCATCCATTCCAATTGCATTACTGTTTCATCTGTTTCACAATTGACCTCCATAGAAGGTTTCATCCGATTGCATTTGGGTTAGAGAGGAGTATGAGTACACCAGAGAGGTACATGTGTATATGTGTATCCGTGTATGTTCTGTTGGGGATAACCCCAAACATAACAACATTAACAGACTCATACGCTGTTGTTACAGCTGCTTTGATGTTGGTTTGTTTATGCGGCAACATCCTCCTTAACAGCATCATTTCCGCTCATGTCAATGATGGTTGCGGGTGGGGGGATCCATCTCTGTTATCTACAATGTTGTTGGTTTTATTGTCATGGTTACTTTTGTAATCTCGGAGGATGAAGAGTAATTTTTGTGAAGGACTGACTATTGGAGTGTGGTCATTCGAAGAATATTTTTCAAGGGCCCACAAGAGGCGTGGATTTATTAAAGAATATTTTTTCAAGGCTCTACAAAAGAGGCGTGGGCTCTACAAAAGAGGCGTGGATTTTTTAAAGAATATTTTTTCAAGGCTCTACAAAAGAGGCGTGGATTTTTTAAAGAATATTTTTTCAAGGCTCTACAAAAGAGGCGTGGATTTATTAAAGAATATTTTTTCAAGGCTCTACAAAAGAGGCGTGGATTTATTAAAGAATATTTTTTCAAGGCTCTACAAAAGAGGCGTGGATTTATTAAAGAATATTTTTTCAAGGCTCCTAAGAAGAGGCGTGGATTTATTAAAGAATATTTTTTCAAGGCTCCTAAGAAGAGGCGTGGATTTATTAAAGAATATTTTTTCAAGGCTCCTAAGAAGAGGCTAAGAAGAGGCCTAAGAAGAGGCGTGGATTTATTAAAGAATATTTTTTCAAGGCTCCTAAGAAGAGGCGTGGATTTATTAAAGAATATTTTTTCAAGGCTCCTAAGAAGAGGCGTGGATTTATTAAAGAATATTTTTTCAAGGCTCCTAAGAAGAGGCGTGGATTTATTAAAGAATATTTTTTTTCAAGGCTCCTAAGAAGAGGCGTGGATTTATTAAAGAATATTTTTTCAAGGCTCCTAAGAAGAGGCGTGGATTTATTAAAGAATATTTTTTCAAGGCTCCTAAGAAGAGGCGTGGATTTATTAAAGAATATTTTTTCAAGACTCTACAAAAGAGGCGTGGATTTATTAAAGAATATTTTTTCAAGACTCTACAAAAGAGGCGTGGATTTATTAAAGAATATTTTTTATGAAGTGCATCACTTCACACTGACATTGTGACACAGTTTCATTATCAAAATGACATAGTAAGGATGAAGGATGCTGTCAAGGACATTTACTTGATTTGAGATATTTTGTATTTATTATAAACAAAACACAAAATGAGCAAAACAACAATTTGAGGGACATATTCAATGGGTTTGTTTTGATACACAAATATGACTTCATATGGAAAATATTGGGTCCTCATCGGATAAGGTCAACATAACTAAAATGTTACTTTCTGATTTCCTGTAAATAGGACCGACGGGGTCTTCCATTAGAAGATCTACAGAGTCGTATAAGAAGTCACCCACAAGAAGACCTACTGAGTTTGCTATAAGAGGGCCTAATTGTCTTCTATAAGAGGACCTAATTATCTTTTATAGAAAGGCCTGATTGTAATCAATATGGAGGTGGACTTCTATATGAGTACTGCATTCAAATCTATAAGATGACCACTTGACCGAATGGTCTTCTATAAGAGGACCCAATGGTCTTCTATAAGAATTTCTATTGGGTCCTCCAAATAGGACTTAATTGGTCATCTTAAGTTGTACTAATGGTACTTATATGAGGAGACCCAACGAAGACCTTACTGGTTACTTCAATAAGAAAAATTATTTGCTCTTTCCATGACAAGATTTAGTATTTTATGAATTCGGTGGCAATCTTATATTCACCTTGATAACATTTATTGTTAATAACAAAATATATGAAAACCTTGAAAATATTTATTTTTCGTTATTTTCTTGTTGTTTTTTTTTTCATTGGAAAATAACAAAAGTTTTATCTGACCAGCTGGCTAAGCTTGTTTTAATTAATTTTTCCACACATCAACAAGATATGTATGTGAGTGTGTGTGTACATTGTGTTTTTTATTGTTCAAATTTTGATGGCCATCTAAACTTGTTTTTCTTAAATATTAGAAAAAAAGTAAAAGGTTATTAAAAACAATACACAACAAATTTTAATACGTCTTATGGAAAATAAAAAAATAAATAAAATTCGAAGGGATTGGAAAATATTTGTTAAAATAAAATTTAGGAAAAAAATTATTATCGGAATTAAAAAAAATAATTAAAAATAATAATAGCAAATTATAAAAAAATCAGGTTGGAAAATTTGGCTAGGACGTTGAGTACGTAGGAAAAACTATGTAGAAACATGGACAAATTGGTTGAGTGAACTTACTAAAGAATATTTTTTCAAGGGTCTACAGAAGAGGCGTGGATTTATTAAAGGTTATTTGTCAAGGGTCTAAAAACATGGAAAATTTGGTTGTAAACGTTTATGAAATCCTCAAGATGCCATAAATTTGATGCTAAACCAAATAGTGAATCCATATTGAAAAAATTTAGTAGGAATATTTGACACACACTAAGAATCCAAAATATAAAATTAGAAGCAATTCGGTGAACAACTGGTCTATTAGAAATGTATGTGAACATTTTTTTATTTCAAAAGTCAGGACTAAATTTACATCGAATTTTATTTTGATATATATACTGGGGACTCCAAAAATATAAAAAATAAATTTTAATTTATGGTGGAGGACATAAACATATAAAAAATAAATACTCACGTGAAATTCCAACCGAATTGAATCTGAAATATGATAAAGAAATTTCTATGTTAACATTAAATAAAATATATTTTGTAAAAGAGATTTTTCTATAATATTTCGAAATATCAAAAGAGGAAATAGACTTTTTTATTATACATCTCACATAAACCCAAAATCAAAGTTATATCCAAAATATTGAATAAAAAAATGTATTTATAATTAATTATTAAATTTTATTAGTTTACAATATGATATATGACAAATTAATAATTGTTTTCCTTTATCTCTTTATAATTTACAGTTGTCGAAATGGAGCGATGTGAAAGCCAACGAAGAAGGAGGTATGTATTGTTTCCAAAACATTTATTCACAATAATGAATGTCATTATCCAAACTACAGTGCCAAAATCACTCAAGTACTTCAAAGCTTTAGGATTAATCGTAAAATTACTACTTGCACAAAAAATGTCCCATTTGTTTATTATACAAAACCAAATCAGATTCGAATTCAGTGACTACTATTCCAATAGACTTTCGATCGTTTGAATGAAACTGGATAAAAATAATTTTTCTAATGTTTACACGTTATTTTCGGTGATTCGAGAAATATACTTTTTGTATGCGTTTTATATATAAATATATATATAAGGCAACTACGCACAAAATTATATTTAGGCAAATTCACCAAAGGTAAAATGTTGGAGTTGTGAGTAAATTACATTACAAAACCAGTAACCATGATACCCTTCACCACTTTGGGTATATTGCGCATATGTATCCGTACATTTGCATGTCAATGTTGCCTCGAAGGAACATACGCATGTCTTTCTGCAACCTATGATAAATTTAATTTCATTCGGGCAGATTTAGAGTGGGAGTCTGCGTACCATAGGGTAAATTTATGGAAAACGTTTTATAGCAAAATTTATACACGCTATTCGGTACGTCGCACTGATAAAAATTTTATTTCAATCAGACAGCCGTTCGAAATACATATGGAAACTATGGCCGCATCTGCACCAATTTCAACAAAACGCAATAACGTCATTCAAGTTCCAATTTGATACATTGTTCAAAATTTCGTGTTAATCGGATAAACATTAGGAGTTTGGAGCTGGAGGAATATGTGGGATCTACATAGAAATCTGAACCGATCTAAAACTTACCACACATCATTCTCGACACAATTTAGTACGCTGTGACAAATTTCGTGCAAATCCAAGGATATATAGGGACTTTGGGCACTATTTACCTAAAATCGGACGAAAATATATATGGGAGCTATATCTAAATCTGAACCGATTTTCACGAAATTTTACACACATCGTTCTAGACTTAATTCAGTATGCTATGCCAAATTTCGTGCAAATCGAAGGTTATATAGGAACTTTGGTGCACTATCACCTAAAATCGGACGAAAATATATATGGGAGCTATATCTAAATCTGAACCGATTTTCACGAAATTTTACACACATCGTCCTAGACTTAATTCAGTATGCTATGCCAAATTTCGTGCACATCGAAGGATATATAGGGACTTTGGGGCACTATTTACCTAAAATCGGAGGAATATATATGGGAGCTATATCTAAATCTGAACCGATTTTTCTCAATTTCAATAGGGTTCGTCCTTGGGCCGAATAAGTGACCTGTGCCGAATTTCATACAATTCGGTTTATAAATACGACCTGTACTTGGTTTACAATTTAACATGGACAGACAGACGGACGGACGGACATGCATAAATCGACTTAATAAGCGATTCTATGCATATTCTCAAGAGGAACCATGTGTCTATCCCGTTTCCTTTTGCCTGTTACAAACATATGCACAAAGACATAATACCCTGTACCACAGTGTGGTGAAGGGTATAATTACACCGCATTCGGAATTCGTTATTTGGTTCGCCATCCTTAACGATATTGTAAAATAGTTTTTTATGGCTTTTATTCTGACTGCTAAAGTTTTGTTATTTTTTTGGCCAAACTTGGGGTATATGACCCGAAACGGCTGAAGCTAGAATCTTGAAATTTGGGGTGGGAGTCCAAATGTGTCAGATAAGGCTGGGTTTTTGGAAATTCGTTCTTAACGACACGAAAAGTACTAAATGTGGTACCATTTGTATTTAGCGGACCGGTAAAGCTAGAACTATAAAATTTGGTAGTGTAGAATAGACGTATCAAAGTGTTTTCTAAAAATTCAAATTATAAGTATCCGAAAAGTACTAAAATTGACTAAATTTAGTACAATTTTGTAGAAGCAGGCAAATGGCGTTAAGTTCGACCGAATCGAACTTTTACTACTACGCTCTACTAAGAGGTGGACATTCAAAATACTACATGATCTTGAACACAAGGAAAATGAAGAAGATTTATGCAATTAGGGTTAACATTATATGGGGACCATTAAACGGGGACCTATATTGATAATTTTTTGTAGTTATTATTCACACCTAATGAAAATTAAAATCACGATGAATATCGCAATATTTGAGATACAGCTTTGAAATGTTACACTGGCATTGATATTACTCCTAAGATGGTTGGTATTGCAAATGGGGTAGATCGGTCCATGTTTTGGTATAGCCCCCATATAACGGTACCCCCAAAATATTCGCTATTATGGATATTTTAAGCACGTTTTTCAACCGTATTTTCCTACGTTTGGTTCTCATTGAGTATCAAATCCTTATACCGAAAATGATTGATAGGGCAATTTAGGTTAGTCCCATATAATTATATTTCGGGGGTTTAGACAAGTTTTTCAACAGAATCTGCTGTAAATTGGTATTTTGAATTCACTTTGACAATTATAAATAATGTCCTATGTTTCGGAGTAGCTCCCCTATAACGGTATCCCACAATATTTGTATGGTTTGTAGAACATGTTTCTACTTGTCGTATGGTAGTAAATCTTCCTTCTAAAAAGTATTCATATTGATATATATTTTTTGGGGAACTTAAATACGTGTTTCAACCAATTTGGGAGTAATTAAATATTTTGAATTATCACTGAGTAGAAAATGTTCCTATCAACATTTTCCCATGTTTCTGGGTAGCCTCCATGTAATTGTACACCCATTATTCGGTACTTTGGGGATTTCTGTAACGTTTTTTTAAACTGAATTGCCTCTAATTTTCAGATTCGAATGGGGTGTCAAATCTTCCATCTAAACATGATCAATATTGGTTCACTTTTTAGGGAATAATGTACATCCAAAATTTCGGTATTTTGCATCAGCCAAATTAGTTGTAACTTTATATTTAGGATTATCATAGCAAAAATAATCAATATTGACCCAGGATTCTGGGTAGCCTCCATTATTTTGGGGTACTTGAGAATGTTTTTCAACCGAATTCGCTCTAATTTTTATGTGGTGTCAAATCTACTTACTTACTTTACTTACTTAGCTGGTTTGTTACAAAACGGTTGTTCCTAAGCTGAGCTTAAAAAAGATTTACAAGCCCGACGGTCTTGTGTGCATCACATCCAATTTGAAATATCATGTTCCGAGATGTTGTCTTTTATCTTGATCTTTCTATCGGATTCGGGGCCTTCCCCTTCTGCGTGACCCATCACTTGGCTAGCTTTTATATGCGTTTTGAGCTAGGACAGCCTCATCCTTTCTCCCAACATGACCTAGCCAACGTAGGTTTCAAATCTTCTTACAAAAATTTTTCAATACCATTTTTCAGTTTGGTATAGCTCCCATAGAATGGTACCACAATATTTTCGGTATTTTGAAAACATTAGCCGCATTTTCCATATAGTTTGGTACAAAGGGTTCTGATGTTTATATATAGATCCATCTTGTGATATAATACCACCTAAAAGTTCCGCTTCTTTTTCGGTATTAACTATTTTTGAACGGAATTATCTCATTGGAGTGGCTATAATTTGATATATCGGATTCCTGGTAAATAAAAAAATATAAATTAATATAGAACACTAACATAACATCATAATATAGTTCCCTATAAATGGCCCGATCGACCGACGGAATTTTGGATGGACCCCACGTGATGGAGGATATAAAACGTTAGGCCCGACTTTTTACTTGTTATTTCTGTAATAGTCCTACTCGTCGTGATGACTTCAATAATTTCAAGAACACTTTGATACTGAGATGCATTTTATTGTGGGGTATATTAGCTTTGGAGAAAAGAACAATCGAAAAATTTGACAACGAATTAAAATTAGACAATATCAAAAATATTGAAATGTAATCGGAAGAAGCAAGTATTTACATATTTACCCTCAACCTATGGTTTGCGGAAGTCTACGGAATTACATACAGGATTTATTTTTGTTATTGGGAGGTGTCAAAGAGAGTGGAACGATGGTTTCACCTTCGGACTTGATCTGGGTTTGGTACATATATTTGAATTAACAATATTTGGAGTGTTGAATTTAAAAAAAATGTACACTTTGGGAGAAGGAGTAGGCTAATGGTTCGCATTTTCGGAGACAATCTATTTACGATAAAAATATTACGTTGTGCAAAGTTTCGATATATTCGGTTTGCTTCATATGAGATGTAAAAATTTTGAAAACTGTTTAACCTTTGTGGCTAATGTACAGGTATAATTAAAATATCGGATTGTACAAAGTTTAGTTGTGCAATTTTGACCATTTTATGGAGGAGGTACCAGACGGAGTTGACCGACATTCCCCATCTTCGAACTTAAACTAAGTTTGGAAGAAATATTGCGATTTGATGAGATCGGTTATTCCCTACAAGAGTTATCGTGCGCTCTAGCCATACAGACAGATGGACGGATATTTGTAAATCAACTCCCAATTATCTCAAACTGATTTTCAAAACAGGTATAAAAGTGTTAGATGGTGTTGCCGACAGAAATATACCCTAAGCCTATTGTTTGCGGAGGTCTACGGAATAACACACAAGGATTTTATTATTCGCTTTATATAGGGTATATGTTTTTATTAAAAGAAAATTCGGATTTAATGTCGATCAAAGCGGATACCAATGGGAGTCATCTTCTACGAACTTGAACTAAGTTTGGTAGAAATATTACGATTTGCAAAGTTTTTAATGAAATCTGGTTCTCATTTCGAGAGTTATCGTGTGCACCAACCGGCCAGACCGACATACGGAAATTGGCTCCAAAATGTCTTAAGCGGATTTTGTCCAAAGAAACATGGGGTCTTAAACCAATATTTCAACATAAGACATAATACTGAGGGTATAAACATAAAATGCTGGGAAGTCCCATCACGCTAAAGTTGTAATCATGCCTAAGTCAATAAGAGTTTTAATCCCAAAAAACATGACACATATGTCAAGGTATGATTTGCGTCAAAATATCCAATGTCTG